GATCGATGAATTCAAATAATATCATCATGACTAATTTTTTTAAGTGAGTTTTCTTGTTTGTTACCCGTTGCATGACAATGTGGGTTATTGTAACTAATTGGGATAGTTGGCTTGTTTCTAGTATATTGAGAGGTTTAACTTGGAACTTAGGCTGTTTGTAGTTTTAATTGTATGTGCAGGTGAAAGGTCAGGCTATCTAAATTTTCATATACATTACTTACTGTTTAGAGATGCTTTGACTTTTGGGTGCGGCTCTTTCGAGGTATTGAATGGGTTTAGACTTCTTTAGCAACATGTGGTTGTTTGTGCCTTGGTGATGCCTGCCTAGTAATTTATGTTTAGCCCCTACAAGTAAATTACTCTTAACAGTTTTCTTTTTCTCTATAGGAAGCTTCTGAGGCTGTCACAACTAATAAAACACATGAACAAAGGCTTGTTGATTACATCTCTTTCAGAATACCTGAGGATTCATTCTCAACTATCAGAAATTGCATAGGCATCGCTAGGGGTTTTATGCATGATTTGAGCAGTGTAAAGAAGGGAAATGCCTCACTGGAAGCTGTCTTGTTATTCGTTCCTGATGGCTACCACTGCGTGGATCTCTGTCTATATAAAGTAATGATCTTAAAGAGTTTCCATGTTTATGCCGTTAATTTTCATAATTGGTTGTCTATATGACCTTTTGTTGTCGAAAACAGGAAAGTCAAATCGTACTATTATTAAACGAATCAACTACCAGTTCTGAAAGCTCCAGTAATGGTTGTATGATGATTGTACAAGCGAGTGACCTTCCCTTTGTATCAATTTCAAGATCCACTGGTCTAAACTGTTGGAATCTGCATGAATTGAAGGTATATTCTTGTTGAGTTTGATAGAGCGACCTGATATACATGAGTTTATTGTGCTTGCAAAATCTATCAGTTTTGTTGTGTTGGCATGTCTCTGAAAGTCTTCTTTCTGTTCTGTGAGATTGAACTTCTGCTTCTCCTCACATGCAATTTTGTTTGTGTTGTATCTTTAAAACACATCTGATGAATTTATACAGCATAAAAAGTTGTATACAACTGCTCACTTTACTGTATCTCTTTCATTGTTTTAGTTGCTTGTCCAATTTGCCTTCAAGATAAACTTTTAGCTCACAAATATGTTATTTCTAGGACTCTGTCATGTACCTGCAGATGGAGAATGAAAAGGTTCGGAATATTCCTCACTCTGTGGTTGCTCCCTTGGCAGTCAGTGGTAAGTGCTTCTCACTACATCTCAGACCTCTATTTTCTTAAAGTTTTACAAAGAACAACCACCTTTATGCGGCCATATTAAATTGAACTTCTTTTGTATGGAGTCTTAGTTACTCTCTAGATGCCATGGTATGTGGGATATGTGTCTGACATGCATCCAAATCGGTTAAAAAACATAAATAATTTTAAAATTTTAGAAGTTTAAGATTTGATTTCAAATAAAGAGGCTTCTTGCTCCCTACATTGAGTAACAGAAATCCACTTGTCTCAACCTTCCATTTAGATTGAAATCTAGGTACATCCTTCCATTTTGTTGGTTGTGGAACCGAAGGAACCGAAACTGAACACATGCTACATTTTGATTTTGTTGATTTTTCGGTTTGGTGTAAATAAGAGATACATATGAAGTTTTAAGAGTTATACAGAGACTTGTCTAGAATCCCACCTCAGGAATAAGTAAAAAGAGAGGGTGGAAGGTGCTCTATAAATGCCTCCCCTTCTACCCTTTATTACAAAACGTATAGCATTGTTCACTTATCTTCTAATGTTCAAAGAATCTGAATACAAAAAAATAATTTAAATATAATATTTCAGTCCACATCAGTACAAAAAATTTTAGAAATGAAACATACCATACCTTATGAAAAGCTGACCAAAAACCAAAATTTTAGTCAATCTCGAGCTGTCAGTTGGGTTCCAACAATTTGTCTTACAGCCCTAGCTACAATCTACAATCCTTTATGAACAATAATTTTGTGACTTGAGGTGTACCATAAGAGAAAATCTTGAAGTTAAAAGCAATACAAAAAGTCAACCGATTCTCTATTTTTTTACATATTTTTGTAAAAAGTCAAAAAAATCACTGAAAAAACCAATTCCCAAATGAATCCTCAGAATTGTTTAAAATCTGCTTTCAGCATCCAGGGGTGTGGCTTGTGTTTTTGCTGCCAGAAGGCGTGCGTTGGTCTATATTCTGGAAGAAGATGAAGATGAAGTATCCGATGCAGAGTGATTGAATTATTATTGTATTATTTCTCATTTTATTATTATTATTATTATTTTTTTGGGTTTTTTTTTTGTTATAATCAACTTGTGTTTTTCTCACTCTTTGTGGGTTTGTATTTTTACTTTTTTTTGTATGTATGGTAACTGTTGGTACAATTTTCAAGAAATATGTTAAACAATTTTAAAATAGGAACAAAAAATGAAAGAGTATAATCATTTTACATTCTAGCAGGGAGTTGTTCTCATTTGATCTCATTCCACAGTGATGGTTAGCTCTGGTATCAAATGTCACTTGGATTTTGCGAGGGGGAAAGTTTTGTTAATCGATGTGGGATTGTAGATTCGTAATTACTTCAACAAAATATACATATATATGCAAAAAACAAAAAAAAAAAACAACCGAGATTCCAATTCCACCTTCCCAATGCAATTTTTGCTTTACTTGGGATACCTCACAAATAAATGGTAGGTTTCAGCTTAAAAAGACACAATACTGAATCCATGAATTAATTCTCATTTATGCTTCATTTGTTTTGGTAAAAAATATTTTTTAATGAAAAACATTTTCTTATATGTTGTTGCATTTTTGAAAAAATATACTAATAATTGTGTTAGTGATAGTGGCAGTAACAGTGATGTAGTGGCGGCAATGGCAGAGGTAGTGGTGCGGTGGTGGTAGTGAAGGGGTGGAGGCGGCATGCTGGCAGCAGTGCTGGTGGAGATGGTGTGGAGATGGTAGTAATGTAGTGACATTGATAAAACATTTGTTTGAAAAATATTTTTCACTTTTTAAAAGTGAAATATTTTTCACTCAAATAAGCTTATTTTCCATTAATCAAAAAAAAAAAATCTGTAGTATAAACACCTGAAAATGTATAAAACATTTTCTTTTCCTCCCAAACAAATAGAGCGTTAAAACTAGATCTTTTAGTTTTTTTGGCTGCTATAAGATCTAAAGGAAGAAAATCAAGATTGATTTTTTTAGCTATTTTCTGTGAAAAATGATAATGTGCCAAGTAAAGATCCGAAAAGCAGTGAAAAAAACATATCCAAGGACTGTAATTTGTATGGACAGTTGTACAGACTGTAAAAAAATTGCACTACATATCAGAATCTTTTTTGTGCAAGGCTAATAGTCTTGCACCGAATACAGGACAGACTTCTACTCCACAAATAAAATTTATTTTCAACTGCACCACTAATTTGAGATTTCCCCAAGATCATATCTACAATATCAATGAACCCTCCATGCCAAACACCCGTAGATGAACTAATTAAAGGGCAAGAATTCTAGTACTCACTGTTTCAATAATCCCATGTTCGGATCTTGAATTTGGGGGAAAAAGACGAACAAAACAGAAATACCGATTTTAAAACCTCTTCTCTTGGGGCCTACTTTGTGAAATTTCGGAATAAGAAACAAAGACAGAAAAAAATAATAGCCAGCGACAAGTGGGGCTTAGCATAGCATACAAGGAATTTGTTGAAACCTACCACTTTAAAAGCAACTCTGCAGTCCATATTATCACATGAAACAGAATAACTAGACATAAAGCAATTTGAAAATCACATAAAGCATCTTGCAATCCATCAGAGTCATGGCAAATTTGCCTCAGGGATGTTTAACAAAAGATGCAAATAATTATTCTTAATGTTACAAGCATACAACACTGATTATTGTGTTAGATTACACCACTAACATGCTACAATAATAGAACAATAAGGTACAATAGAATAACTAATAGAGAAGAAAGTTACCCCTGTTTCTACCAAGAATGGTTTAATAGCCAAGGAGAAAACCCGTGCTAAAAAAATTCCAGGCTTTCATGGTGTCCTCTACAGTCTCAGTAGGCATCATTAGTTAGAACAATCGACACCATTAATAATTCAGAAGATGCAGACTAGAAGAAAACAATCTTACTGTACAGAAACAAACTGTACAAGCAAAAATGCACTTACAAGTCAGGTTGAGTGAGCAGATCAGCTGATGCTTTGAGGACATATACTGCATCTGACAACTCAATCCACAAGCGTAGTCTTGTTTTTTAATACAACCCATATCTATAAATCATCTAACTCAACAAGTTGTGCCCGTCTCTCAGCAGCCTTTTTCCTGATGAAGATGCCCCATCTAAGGGCTGCCTTGAGTTTCAGCCACCCAACTACAGCTTTGCCTGATGAGCGTGTCTGATCATCATCGAATACGTAGTTTGAAGATTGGTTGGGCATGTGTGGTGCTGATGAGTAAGGGTAACTGTCGTCAGAGACATTAACAGGGGCATGACTGTGGCCACCCATGTTGAAAACACGAAGTAGATGTTGCATGTCTTCATTTTCTAGCATCTCGTGACTTCTCATGCGAATCTCCTCCTCTGGGAAGTAGTCCTCGAATCCCCTATAAGAGGTAAAATTTGACGTGCCGCCAGTCTGGAAGCCTGACATGGATGATTGTGGTGGACCAAGGGCCAGCGCACTCGAACTCCTAGGAGGCTGGGTCTGTTGCAGAGCATTGATCATCTGGTTATGCAGAGGAAATGAAGTGCCATCAAACTGAATAGGAGCATCAAGGTTCAAGTTCTGTGACTGTACTGGATATTGTGTAGTGACACTAACATCGTGACCTAGTCAAAGAGAGGATTCACGTGTCAGCAATTACGTAAATGGCTAGAAACATAGGTTTAGAATTTCATGGCATGCAAAGCTTACAAACCAGCATCTCTAAACAGAAAGATTTGGGCAACACTTTTGTTTCCTGTTGTTTGTTTTTGTTTTTGTTTCCGTTTTCTTGTTTGGTATATAGTTTTCGTTTTAAAAAAAGTCGAATTGATTCCAAAATTTTTGAAAACGAAAAAAGATATTCTCTCGTTTTTCAAAAAAAGATTTCCCTATCTCCTCCAACCAGCACCACAGCAGGAGAGCTCCGGCCACCTTCCGCCAGCCAACACGTCCGTTCACTGTCCACCGCCAACCACCACCTCCAACAACTCACCAAACACGCCTTCTTATTTTTGTTTTCAAAACATATGTACACCAAACAAGTCTTCTGTTTTTGCTTCTGTTTTTTGAAGGAAAAAAAAATATTTAAAACTTGTTTAACACCTTGTATTTTGACATATTCCTCTCTTTTTTTGCTCTCTCCCTCCCCTAATAAATTTGTATTGAAATATATCTTACCTCCTAAAGTTAGGCCTGGATTCATAGAGGGCTGCTCTGGGGTAATTGAAACTGGAAGACTCGGTAGTGTGAGCTGAGGATCAAAGGAGTTGGAATAATCGTGTGTGCTCACAGTAACATCATTTTGAGAAGCAGCTGAGTTGTTGTTCTGCTTGAAGCCTAAAAGAGACTTGCCATCATACTCTATAACGTGCATCCAGTTGTCATATGCCTTCTTGACCAAGGTATCCACATAGACCTGCAAAGAACCAAATTATCAGACTAATCTCAAGCACTTCTTTTTCCAGCAATTTGAGACCACAACAAATGTATTTCTCGAGTTTCTACATAGGTTGACTGTATAAGGTAAACAGAAGGAAGTTTTGCTCCAAATGCAACATCATACGTTAATATGCCATGCCATTAAAAAGATAGCTAACTCTAGTTATTTTTATTGAGGTTAAATATAACAAGACAATTGTTTTATTTTCTTCTCAAGTCAGAAATGGAAAATATTTTTCCAAAGCTATTCTCATTTGCGAACTAAACCTAACAATTGGTGCCTTGTTTAGGATCAGGAACAATGGATTCATTGACAGAAAGCAAACCATCATCAGTTTCAGATATACATGAAACATTATTCCAAAAACGAAAATGACAGCTTCAGCATTACATACCTTCTGGTCATCAGAAAGAGAATCAACTGAAAAATATTGCCCACCTGCAATTAAGCCACTCAATTCATAGATGTTGTTAAAAACAACACCAATATTCCTCACATCATCAGGATAGTAAACATAAAGTTTCCCGCTCAGAACACAAGTCTTTGCATGCTCTACAAGGGCATCCCACATCTTGTTTGACATGCCACTTCCTAGTATCTACATAACAGAAGCAAAATAAATGAATTCTTATTAGAAAAATGAATGTAATAAATTATAATTTGACAACCAAATGCTAGATTTTTACATTCCGCAGTCTCTGGGAGTCTCTCACTACAAGCCGCAAGAAGTCTTCAACTGTATATATTCCAGCTTTATTAAGCCTCTTATGAAACGATCCATCTTTGCCAATCTTCTCTAACCTCCAAACTTCATCGTTTAATGCAGGTGGATAGTGCTTCTTGTACACTGTAAACCCAAAAAAATTACAATCTTTCCAATAAACATTCAACAGATACAGAAATTAAAGTAAAACACGTGCTAACACACACAAAATATGGTTTAAGGTTGACATAGCTTGAACTCACATTCTCCTCTGTGATCCTTGACAATGAAGGCATCTGTTTTTGCCTCACGAATACGAATGCCTTCACAACAGCCTGAGGCAACCTTTAGACCTAATCTGAACTTTCTGCTCCTTATCCAGCTAGAGTTGTCAGTAAATGTAAACTCCCCCAGGGTTCCTACACCTTCCTTCAATATCACTTGCAAATCTCCAGTCAGAAGAGGCCTCTTTCCATCACGTTCTTTCACTATACGTGATTCAAATTCTTCTTGACTCCAGCCTTCTTCATCCTCATTATTAAAATCACCTTCAAGCACAACAACATCAAGTTTCACTGAAGACTCTGGACCTGATGTGACCACATGACCAGTGTTCGTATCAAGCAAAACAATGTGGATTGCTGCACCCCGCTCCCCTTCTACTTTCCCTCCTGTAAAGAGTGGGAGCGACAACCTGGACCTGAAGTGAAGCTGCAAATTTCTCCCATCTGGACCTTCTAATCGTTTTGGAGAAACCCTGCATTTTTCCCCTCAAAGTTTAATCCAAAATAGAATAAAAAATAAAAACACGCACAACGCATCAGAAGCATCTTGATCTAATGATATATAATTCTAATAGATTGAAACTTGTATGCATACTAATAAGAAATCCAGGACTCTACAGGAATTTAACTGAACAAATGAAGAACACTTGATATATTGACCAAGTAACCAACTAGCTTAATCAACCCTGGCCTCATTATTTGGGGCCCAAATTTGGTCCCTAGAGTTAACCCTGCTTGCCCCAGCCCCACAGTACAGGAAACTTGACTGAAATTAAGTCCCAAATAGACAGATTTTGTGGTCTTATTTAGCAAAGATGAACAGGTTTACTAATTGAACATAGAAAATAACAGGAATCAAAATAAATTTCAATACAGAAAAAATATCATTAGAAAACAGAAGGCAAATAAAAAATAATAATAATACTGTTTTACCAAATGTAAGGAAATATCATACCTCGTATTAAGTTTAGCGGGGCCTAACTTAGCCAAAGCACGCTCCACCTCTTCACTAACCTGTTCAGCATTCAAGAAATCAAATATATTAAGAATACTGAAGCATCATTAAACCAAACATATACATCTACAAATGGGTTTTAAAGCACAACCAATCAGACATTTGTGGATGGGATATTCTGCCTGCACGACTGAATTTAGAAGAAAACAGCAAGACACATTTTTGCCCCAATAATGAAAGCATATTCATGCATACACCTCATATTTGGTTAACTGTCTACACCATGAAGAGAAAACTTAACTTCAGTCATAGCTTCTCAACATGCCAACTATTTTAACACGATGCCATTATTTATGCCTTCTTCCAAGCCATGTGTCCCACTCAAGTGGGGTCAGGTAAATGAATCACTTTTCACCATTCTACTCTGTCAATGGCTATATGCTCAATTAAATAAATTCTTTTTGTTTTTTAGTACTGCATCCTATGTTAGTTTAGGTCTTCTCCTAAGGAAATAATAAATACACACACAGAAGAAACAGCTTGATCTAATGAAATAATGCTAGTAGATTGAAACATTGTATTTATCTGTGTGCACCCGCACATTGAAATGGGTCTTTGCCCTCTTGGGTCTGTGGAGACCAATTTTTTATTAACGAATGGATCTTCGGAAGTTCATGATCCGCAATGAATTCAATCATGAAATCATCAATATTCTACAATATTTGACAAAATTGGTCATTTTCTCAATAGCATTTGACAAGATTCCCTTTGTCAGTACATTATAGCTACTTCAAAAAGCAATTAACAAGTATTGAAACATGTGTTTGACCTAGTGTTCCACAAACCTCTTTTATAAGAATCTAGCTTAGAGAAGGCTTCCAAACAAAATAATGTACTGGATAAACTTGTGTAGCATTCACAACACAAGGTACAACTGATTGACAAATTAGTTTTGTCAATAACCCGAAAGAAAAAAAATTTCAACCATCTACGTAGCAAATAAAGTCAAAAACATAGTTTTCATAAACAAAAACAAAATCCACATGTAGGCATAGTTATCTTACAACTTTCCGAAGAATAGGCTCCAGTGATGAGCAAAGCTTCTGCAGACTATCCACCTTGAGAGCTTCAACGATAACACTGCAAAAATATGGATTCATCAAGAAACTAGGCTTGATGAAACAATAAACAGTTTATCGACAAACAAATTGAACTTCCACATATAAGAACATTAGTCCGCAGTGTAACTTGTTATAAAAGGAGCTAATTCAATCTAATTCAATTGGCAAGTACTCATGCAGGTAAAGACTTAAAAAGGCAGGTATTGGAACCCAAACTAAGATTAAGAACAAAAAAATTGCAAGGATTGAGACAACCCATGATCTTTCCATTGCCATTCACCCTTTCCTCAATTAAGGTCTGGAAAGAAATCAAACCATAGTTGACAAGATTTTGAAACATCAATCAAGACCAAAATGGGGTTTCAAGAGTACAATTGCAGCAATAGGAGGAAAGATGCCTAAGCTAAAAGACACATTTATGAAGCAAAAAGGGAAAAACGTCATATAGAGAAAAGGACATGTACGGACCCCAACTTCCAAATTTAATCAACCTATGGGTGCTCCAAATTTAATCAACCACTCAGACACCCAAAGGTATGATAAAAATGAACTCATCGAGCCCAAAGCAAAGGTCTCCCTCAAAGTCATGCCCAAGGCCACTTGAGCAGGCTGGATGATTTTAAAGTTGCAACTCTAGAAAGGTCCTACCTGAAGTGGGACCTAGACTCCAACTTAAGCTGAAGCATCTTTTATTTATTGGAAAAAATCCAGTAAGGTCCCGCTAGATCTACCCTCGAGCAAGTTTTAGGTCTAGATGTTAGTTTTTCATTCCACTAGGTGTGCGATCAAAGCCTACTCGAAAGGCAATCGAAGCTAACCTGCTTATAGGTTAAACCATTGTCTCCAATATAAAACTGTAAGCTTATTAATATACAACTGCTTTCTTAGAAACCCATCTTTTTCAAACAATGAATTAAGAGCTTTTAAGAGAAAAACTTAATTAAGAATTCATGTTTTGTAGGCCTACTTTGGCATTCTTGTCCATGTATGATAAGCACATCATTTCAAACATTCACACTCATGACCCGTGTCATGTCTTTCTAAAGTTGCGGAGTCCAAAACTCAACATATGTCGGTGCCATATGTGGCAGTGGCACTCAAAACTAACACCAAACTTTCAAATCTACTTCCTCCCTGCTAGCACCTCCATCCCGTAACCAGTATGAGCCCTCACACCCACACAACAACCCACACTCTCAATTCAACACTACCTGCCTTTCTATAGTAGTTAAAAATAAAATAAAAAATCTACAAATTTTTTCTCAGTTAAATTTGCATACTCAATCTGTGATACTATTCACCACATTCCCTTTAATTTTAGCCAACTGGTAATAACAAAAGCAAATTCAAACAAAAAATTTCAGTTCAATTGACCAATTTCTTTAAACAAAAACACACACACACACACAATATATATATATATATATATATGAATAAAACAATTTTCATAGCTCATACTAATTTCCACAAATTGAAGCAAAAACTAAACTTGATAGCTGACTTCAGTCAAACACAAACACATACACATACACATACATTCACATAGTGTGCATTTTCTGATATCAACTGCCTAAATACAACGACGAAACGAAATCAAAACTAAATTTATTCACCAAAATTATAAATAAATAAATTGTAAACCTGGCAAGAGCTGGTCGTTTGGGGTCGCGCTGACTTTCGTCGGTAGAACTCGGATCCAGAGCTCGCTTTTCTCTGGCCATGCTGTTGGATCTCTCCAAGTACCTGGTTTGCATTTTCTCAGCTTCCAAACAGTCACTCTGGTGCTTCTTCAGATCTGATCTGATCTGATCCGAAATGAGCTTCAAGCACTCTACTACTCCGACAATATTCCCTCGGCAGATTCGAACCGGGAAAAAAAAAAAAAAAAAGGAGAAAAAAGAGGCAGAAAAGAGAAAGGAATAAAAGAGAAAAAGAGAGAAAGCGGGAAAATTGAATCGTTTTTTGGACCAGGTTTCCGGGAAAGTTCAGAGGAAGGGACTGCGAATCTTCGCTCTCTCCAGTAACCATCAAAGTTTTGTTCTACTCTGGCGGCTATGAACAGCCTATGGCGGTGTTTGAAAAGAAATTTTTTTGATTTTTTTTTGCTAAAATAGTATTAAAAAATAAAATAGGTTAAAATAATCAATAAGATAAAATGTCACATTAAATTTATAATAATATTTCACTTTTTTTCTCACAAATATCACATTCAATTATAAAAATATTCAATTTTTTTCTAAATACAAAAATTTTAACCTTCTAAAATAATCAAAAATTAAAATAACCTACTAAAATAACAACTTCTCAGACACTATGTACCCCTATATATTTGCACATGCTTGTAGAATTCGGATCCTCGGTGCCCCTTTCTTGCCGCACAACTTTTTTATTTTTTTTTCTTTTCTTTTTCTTCTTTCTCTTCCGTCTGTGAATCAGAGGGGAGGGGAGGGGATGGAAGGGGAAGAAGAGAGAAAGGAAGGGAATCGGCTCGGATTCTCTAGCTCAGGTCACGGCCGGCGAGGAGCTTCTCGGCGATGAGGAGCCACTGCTTCGCTGCTGTTGATGCCGCCGTGAGGGGAGGAGCTTCTCGGCTTTCATTTCTGTCACTCTCTCTCTTTGCTTTCACTCTCTCTCTCTCTTCTCCTTTCCTCTCTCTCTTCTTCCCCTTCCCTCCCCTCTGGTTTCTGTTTTGCAGAAGACCAAACACAGACGGAAGAGAAAGAAGAAAAAGACAAAAAAAACAAAAAACCCCCAAAACGACGTCGTTTTGGGAGGCTACAGGGTTGTGCGGCAGGAAAGGGGCACCGAGGATCCGTATTCATGCTTGTATAGCTCTCTTTTATGGCTTTTTTTTCATTTCTCTCTCCTAAATTACACTCTTGTTTTTTTAGGTCAAGTTTGATAAGGTCAAGTTTGATAAGTTCAAAATAATTTAAAAAGTCAAAAAGTTTCATAAAAAGTAAAAAAATTATATTTACAAGTAAAAAATATTAAAAAAATATTTTATATATTTTTATAATTTAAAAGTTTGATGGATGCTGTCAAACGTACTTGTGAAGCAGGAAGGCCATTATACACTTTTTGGGCCATAAAAAAAAATCATATATGTAAAGTCACAAAGTTTGATTTTAATGTTAGGCCCTTGGGAGCCACTAAGGGTTCCATTTTAATAATCCAAACTGTTCAATATGTAGAACTCGTCGAGTAATATATGCTTGTAAAAAATTAAGTTGATTAGATATAGTTAACTATATGATCAAATCAATATTATATAAACAAACGAGTAGTTAACTGTTGAAAAAAACTAATCCGATCATATAACTATCGATATCTGATCAACGTGAGTTTATACAGGCATATAATACTCGACGAGTTGTACATAATCAACGGTTCAGATTATTAAAATGGGACCCATGGTGACCCCTGCAGGGCAACCAACACTGTTCAAACACTTTGCCCCGAAAGAGACAATTATTTTATGTGTAAGACATGTTGGGGGCAGCAGGGCAGTCGTACATCCACTCAACTTTCTTCCCCTATACACTTTATTTATATAAGTACACTTTCTGGGAAAACTTTAAAATAAATAAATAAAGTTTAACGATAACCAAATAAATTTTGAATTTTTTTATTTTATTACATTTAATTTTAATTTTTTATTTATTTTTAATTTAAATTATTTATCTATTTTTGTCAAGTAAAATTAATAATTTTTTTTAATTATTAAGACTTCTGTTTACAAGTTTCTAATTTTATCAATTTAAATTTAAATTTTTAATTTATTTTTAATCTAAATTATTCATCTATTTCCATCAAGTAAAATCAACGAAAAAAAATAATTTTTTTATTAGGTGGATTATTAGTGATGGAATTAACGAGGAGATTTTTTTTTTAGGGTCCTAATGTTAAGATTTTATAGCAAAAAGGACATCTAATATTTTCTTAATGTCTAAGGTCCCTCACACATCGATCCAGAGAAATTTCAATTCAAAGAATTTCTCTAGACTTCGGAGAGAAATTCTCTTCAAACTTCTCTAGTTTGCACAAATTTCTTTGGTTTGCGTAAATTTGCGCAACTTTCTCTGGTTTGTAAATTTCTCTAATTTTCTCTGGATTTCACAGAGAAATTCTCTCCAAACCAGAGAAATTTTCTCCGTGTTTTGAATAAATCAGAGAAAATTAGACTACTTAAAAATTAAAAATAATCATAATTTTCTCTGTGTTTTAAACAAACCAGAGAAAATTAAACTACTTAAAAACCAAAAACAATCACATGTGATTGTTTTGAACAAACCAGAGAAAATTGGCGTACTTATAAACCAAAAACAATCACAATTTTCTTTGTGTTTATAACAAACTAGAGAAAATTAGGCTACTAAGAAACCAAAAAACAATCACAATTTTCTCTGTGTTTTGAACAAACCAGAGAAAATAACACAGAGAAAATTGGGCTACTTAAAAACCAACAAAAAAATCACAATTTTCTTTATATTTTGAACAAATTAGAGAAAATTGGGCTACTTAAAAACAAAAAATAATCACAAATTTCTCTGTGTTTTGAACAAACCAAAGAAATTGGGCTATTACGAAACAAAAAAACAATCAAAATTTTCTTTATATTTTAAACAAACTATTGAAAATTGGGCTACTTATAAACCAAAAACAATCACAATTTTTTCTGTGTTTTGAACAAACTAGCGAAAATTGGACTACTTAGAAATAAAAAAACAAACCAAAGAAAATTGGGCTACTTAGAAACAAAAAAACAAACACAATTTTCTTTGTGTTTTGAGCAAATCAGAGAAAATTGGGCTACTAAGAAACCAAAAAAATCACAATCTTCTCTGTGTTTTGAACAAACCAGAGAAAATTGGGCTACTTAGAAACCCCAAACAAAAAAAAAATCACAATCTTCTCTGTGTTTTGAACAAACCAAAGAAAATTGGACAACTTAGAAACCAAAAATAATTACAATTTTATCTGTGTTTTGACAAATTAGAGAAAATTGGGCTACTTAGAAACAAAACAAAAAAAAAATCACAATTTTCTCTGTGTTTTGAACAAACCAAAGAAAATTGGGCAACTTAGAAACCAAAACAATTACAATTTTCTCTGTGTTTTGAACAAACCAGAGAAAATTAGATTACTTAGAAACTAAAAACAATCACGTGTGATTGTTTTGAACGAACCACAGAAAATTAGGCTACTCAGAAACCAAAAAATAATCACAATTTTCTCTGTGTTTTGAACAAACGAGAGAAAATTAGGCTACTTAGAAACCAAAAACAATTTCAATTTTCTCTGTGTTTTGAACAAATCAGATAAAATTAGACTACTTAGAAACCAAAAACAATTACACATGATTGTTTTGAACAAACCAGAGAAAATTAGCCTTTTTAGAAACAAAAACAATCACAATTTTCTCTGTGTTTTGAACAAACTAGAGAAAATCCGGCTACTAAGAAACCAAAAAACAATTACAATTTTCTCTGTGTTTTGAATAAACTAGAGAAAATTTGGCTACTTAGAAACCAAAAAAACAATCACATTTTTTTCCGTGTTTTGAACAAATCAAAGAAAATTGAGCTACTTAGAAACCAAAAGCAATTACAATTTTCTCTGTGTTTTGAACAAATCAGAGAAAATTGTGATTATTTTTCTATGTGATTGTTTTTCTAAGAAGCATTTTATCAAACAGGTTAACTTCAAAGCTCATAGCTATATGTTTTACAATTCTAAGAAGTGTTCTGTCAAATCAAATCTCATAGTTATGTGTTTTGGAGTTCAAATAAGCATTTTGTCAAACAGTTCATTTCCATATTATATATATATAGATGTCTGTATGTGTATGAGTTGTGTGTGTGTGTGTGTGAGAGAGAGAGAGACCTTGTTCCAGGACCAGTAGAGGACGAAGTCAGAGAAGGAAGAACTAAAAGCAGCTTACTAGGGCTTTAAAACATGAAAGTTATAGTATCACTTCCATCATCGGCCTTGATGGTGATGATATCATTGTCCACTCCCATCATCGCGGTATGCTTCGATTCCGATATCGGTGAAATCATCTATGGATAAGGATGATTTGAGCTTTGCTTGACGAAGGAAAGAAAATTGGAGAAGACGATGACGACGACAATGAACTCCGGTGATAGAGGTGGAATTCGTCGGAGATAGGAGCAGAGAGAGGGAGAAGTAGTTTGATTTGAGGGGGTCAAATTTCTCTATGATATATGGGTGTCGGGGGTTAAGGGACCTTACACATAATACTGTGGATCTCTTCCATTATTAAAAATGGGAGAAGGACCTTAAACTAATTTTCCCAATTAACAATCTCATGGGATTAATAATTTTATGGGATAATTATATGCGGATTGTTAATACAAACATTCCTTTGGTATTAAATATACCACAATTTTGTAAGATTAAAGTCTTGTGTATTATTAAGGCAGATGCTATTTGTGTGATCTAAAAGTAAGAATATAAATTTGATATGATTAAGTATCCAATTCTATGTAGTTATTTTCGAATCAAACAACCCTAAGCTCAATAAAAAATTTTTATCGGTGCCCTAAGCTCAATATAGGTGCACTGTTTAAATTATCATTCACCTTGTTTGGCTTCAAAAAGACAAACAATTTTTTTAGAAAATTTTTGTTTTCCGTCTTTTATTGTTTTTAGTAAAAAAAACTAATATTTTAAGATTTTATTTTACTATTTTAGAAGCACCTAACCTAGATACACTTAAAAAATATAATATTTATGAAAAAATATTTTAAAAATTCATCAAATATAAAAAATAAAAATAAAAATTCATTATATTTTCGTATTTTGTATATTTATTGATTTTTTAAAATATTTTTTCACAAATATTTTATTTTTTAGGTGCATCTAAGTCATGTGCTATTAAAAAATAAAAAAAATTAATTAAAATATTAAAAAATTCACAAAAAAAATTGAAAAGCAAAAAAAATCAAATTTTAGAAAATCAATTAGAACCAAACAAGTTGAGTTTAATGATTAAAATATTTATTTTAATGATTTTACTAAAAAGAAAAAA